ATAGACACTGGCAGTAAAAACGTATGAAAAAATATAGTATTGAAATAATGGTATATGTTGAGAAATTTTAGCATGTTATTTTTTCATAACAATTATGTCCAATGAATCCAATTATCTGATTGACCTGACACATGATTTGTTGATGATATATCATTGATTAAGTCCAGCAGTTAGATAACTTTTTTATTAGAAGCGCCCAGGGAATTTACAGTGCACATAGTGCGGCCGTCTCCCAGCAAATGATTTAGCCCATGCATTGTCCGTGTCAAAATCGCGAAACTATCCGTTTTCACGCTATCTGGGAAGTTTGAATTACTGAACGAAGCACAGGACGACGAAGCTGAAATACCCAAGAACTAACACATGCCAAAAATTATATCTCAAAAGTAATTATTCGTGCTATATGTTGAGTTTAACTTGACTGGAAGTGCAAATTTGGTACTACTCTAAATAATAATCATTACAAGCTTAGTTAACAAACTGGCTTATTTGATTTTTTTTAAGTTAAATAAAGGACATCTGATACTACTAATAATAAAATACTTTATTAAACTTATATTCTCATTTGGAATCTAGATAAAAATACAATAAAAGTTTGAGCGAAACAAACCATAATTGAATAGACAAAAGAGAGACTTTAGGCAGCTGGTAAGTTTGTTTGCTAGTACGTTCACATCTAAAAAAAGATATTTTGGTGTATCATTCTCTAAGACGAGAAATTAATGTCGCCACCACCACCACCCCACGAAATGGGTACCAGGTCCCCCACAACCGAGCACCTACTAATCTAAGATTTTTCTGAGGTCCAAATTATGACCTAAATTCGTAAACATCTTTGATTGCCGGAAATGACTGTCACATTGATAAAGGTCAAGAATTAATCATGTCACCTGGGCGGTATATTGCGGTTTCAAAACGGCCTTGCATTCCAGAAGACAGGATCCCTTGTTATTGTGTCTTATACGGATGACCAGTTTACCTGAACTGAATCCCTTGTATCTAGCCGAACTATGTGGTTGGCCTGTTTATCAAGACAGAATCCTTTGTATTGTGAAAATAACCCACATTTTGCATGGTGTATGTATATCTGTGCAAAATGTTGGTCTTCCTACTAAACTATGGTAGCCACTGTCATCCAAATTGCTGCAGAAATCTGTGTTGAGATCAGCTTATGTGCAGGCATAAATGGTCAATATTATCAAGTAAAAATAGAATATTTTTTTTAAAGGTAGAAGCCTACTCATAAATAAAAAAAAATGTTATGGCACACGTTTGTGAAGGGCGGGAAACATTATCTAAAGAATTTCGTGGCAGAAGGGAAAATTTACAGGAATATTTCGCAAGGCAGTGATGTGAAACATATCCCTCATCATAAGAGGTGGAGAGCGGGTAAAGAACTCAAATAAATCTCGAGGGGAGTTGTTGTATTCTCTAGCCAGAACAGCTTTCAATTTTCCTTCTTTACTCA